AAAAAGTTGCCTCTTTTGATGCCTAGTTAAGAATCGTTTGCAGTGTTGCCAAATTCCTTTTAGTTTATGAAATACAGGGTGATTTCTAAGAAATGCCCAAAAATATTTCATCAATTATTTCGATAACTATTGATTTTTGGAACACACTTTAAATTTAAAAGTTTTATAATTTTTTTTTCTCTACCACATGGTATCTTCAAATTTTAAATCCGACGTTTCGTGATAGAGCTACCATCATCAACTTCATTTTTTTAAATACGGACCTGAATTTTTTATGTCATTTTTACAAGGGAGTAAAGGGCAGTTTCTAAAAATGACATAAAAAATCCAGGTCCGTATTTAAAAAAATGAAGTTGAAGATGGTAGCTCGATCACGAAACGTCGGATTTAAAATTTGCAGATACCATGTGGTAGAGAAAAAAAAATTATAAAACTTTCAAATTTAAAGTGTGTTCCAAAAATCAATAGTTATCGAAATAATTGATGAAATATTTTTGGGCATTTCTTAGAAATCACCCTGTATTTCATAAACTAAAAGGAATTTGGCAACACTGTAAACGATTCTTAACTAGGCATCAAAAGAGGCAACTTTTTTCTAATCTAACCGACCTTGTAGCTCTTACCGTTTCGGATATAGCAATTGTGGTAGCACTTAAAATATACACCCTGTATAGGTACCACGTTTTTCTATATGATTTTCTAAGGAGAACAAAAAAAACCGCATGCTTACATCATTAAAAGTGCCACAGCAGGAGAAAAATGACCATAAGCCCCCCGGCTATACTATAACACATACTTCTACTTTTCATTTGATCGAGAATACTGTGAAAGGGGTGGTAGGTATAAAAATAATAAGTTGTTTAAAGTTAGCCTGAAATATGTAATATTTTTAGAATTTACCAATAATTTATTAAAGTTGTTCGAAATCTCTAGGCGCTGACGTTCCAAATCACAAAAATATAAAATATAGGTGTGTCTTGAAATTCCTAAAACTCCTCCGAAATCATTCGAAATCACTCGAAATCCTCCAAAATCACCCGGAATCCTCCGAAATCACCCGAAATCCTCCGAAATCAACCGAAATCCTTCGAAATCACTCGAAATCCTTCGAAATCACCCGAAATCCTTCGAAATCACCCGAAATCCCTCAAAATCGCTCTAAATCCGAAATCTTGTCACATTTTTCCCTTAGTGATTAACCCCTCGGGTTTAACTTGGGCGTGTGAAAAGTTTAAGGAATATCTAATTGGTCTTTCGAATATCATTTTAGAAACCGATCATAAACCACTATTACAAATCTTACAAACTAAACATTTAGATGATTTAACACCTCGTCTTCAAAGGTTTCGTATAAGGTTGATGAGGTATAATTATTCGGTTGAATATACTCCTGGTAAAAACCTTCAAGTAGCTGACGCTCTTTCCAGAAACCCTCTTGAAATGCCCTCTTATGAAGAACTTTCAGAAGAGGTAGAGTCATATGTTGGCGAGATTGTAAAAAATTTTCCAGTTAAAGATGCTTATTTATCAAAAATTGTTTATGAACAGGAATCGGATAATATTTGTAAAAAAATATTGGAATATTCAATTTCGGGTTGTAAGTTGTCTCCAGAGTTACAATTTTATTATCAATACCGATTTGATTTTTCTTTAAATTGTGGAATTCTTTTAAAAGCAAATCGTATTGTTATACCTGATTCTTTACAATTAGAAGTTCTAAATTTCATTCATTCTGGTCACCAGGGTATTGTTGTGAAAGAGCAAAAATGGCCGTATGGTGGTTAGGATTATCATTTCAAATTGAGAATCTAGTCAAATCTTGTAAAAATTGTATTGAAAATAGAATTAACATCAAAGAGCCTTTTTTACATGATACTCTTCCCAGCAGAGCTTGGCAAAAGGTTGCTGTTGATCTATTTAAGTTTAAATCTTGGTGTCTCATAATTACAGATTGTTATTCCAGATTTTTCGAAATTGTAGTTTTAAATAGCTTAACTGAGAAAAATATAATTAGTAAATTGAAAGAAATTTTTGCTCGTTTCGGCATCCCGGAGGAAGTGAGATCTGATAATGGACCTCAAATTCAAAATTTATTTAAATCATTTTCTATTGATTATAACTTTAAACATGTAACTAGTAGTCCCTATTATGCTCAATCGAATGGGAGTGTAGAGATGGCAGTAAAGACAGCAAAGTCTTTATTATCAAAGAATTCAGATATAAATTTAGCATTAATGTCATATAGATCAACTCCTTTAGAATGTGGCTTCAGTCCTGCTGAACTTTTGTTTGCACTTAAAATGAGAACATTACTGCCTATTATCCCTGAAAAATTGAATGAAATTATAGATATTAAAGACAGCTTCATTAGAGGGGAAACAAGGAGAAAAGAAAAGCAAGCTTTAAATTATAATTCTAGACATAACACAAAAGAATTGCCAGAATTTAAAATCAATGATCCAGTTTGGATAACCGATTTAAAAAAATATGGAGTTATTTCTAAAAAATTAGAAGCACCTCGTTCTTATCTTATAAAAACAGATAATGGATTATATAGAATAAATAGATGGTTTTTAATAAGTGCTCCTCATTTTCAGTGAATAAATAACTCCATTATTTTTATATGTCATATCTATTATGTATCTATTAATTTTGTATTCAAGTTTGTTAATATTTGAAAATATGTTTATTTGTTTGTGTTTTTTAGAAAACATCATGAGAGGAGAGATGTAGTGTTAGGTAAAGTTTAACTATCATTAATTGAAACTTAATAAAAAAGGCGGCTGAGTTGATCTCTTTGAAGTCACGTGGGAATCCATAGGCGTCTAAATATTATTATCATGACAAATGAAAACAAATTGGTTAATAAACAATAAACATACTCCAGATATTTCCATAAAAACTGAAATGACGAACGCCATTGCCCCGAAACTCTAGCTGATTTACTTCTAGAATACAGTGGAGTTAATACATTAAATAAATGGGCAAAATTCATATAGTAGGTAATCCTTAAAATTCCGTTTTAAACTATTGAAATAAATCAAATATAAATATTTGAATGGGAATATTATTCCTTTATTAAAAATTCAAATTTGAAATTGATTTTTATTCAATTATCTGTGTAATTTTATACTTTTGTCCACTTCTAAAGAGAATATCTCACACTGTCAACAAGAGCGGCTCAGCTTTGGCGGCAAGCGACAATTTTCAAGCTTTTTTGCCGGTGTGCGGTGTCTTTGTTATAGTGTACCAGGACTAGGCATAAAAATATAAAAATTATTTTTTATCTTATTATAGGTCTGTTCGCAGAGAAATCACAAACCAGTCAGAGTGAACCTCATTGGTTGAAACTAGTTTTCTGACTGTTTCTGATTATTTTCAACCAATGAAATTCGCTCTGACTGGTTTGTGATTGCTGTGCGAACAGGCCTTATAAGGGGTATTTTTCTAATTTTGAGTAGTCACCATAGAGATGCGATTTTCAATTAATAATGGTAATACTTTACCAGATAAATAATTAACACTAGGTAGGTTGAGTGTCATGTAGACAGATTAGTCATAGTGAGACACTTTATTAAGAGACACGTTTGTAAGAAGGTCGAGACCACGGACAATAAATTGTTTTAAAAAAGATATACAGTCTAATTGTACAATTTCAAAATTATTTAAGTTTTTAATTTAATTTAAATTTACATATTTATAAAATATGGATTATGAGGTATAAAACTGTTAGTAATAGCTGCGTCAAGTTAGCGCCCTCCATAACCGAATCTAACAACTTTTTTTGGTAGAAATCAATTGTGCAAGAATTGTGCTGAATTATTGTGCTGCTAATATTAGGAATTGTGCTATTTTGGTAACTGAGTTATTTGAAAAAAAAAAAGTAGAGGGGGCCAACTTGACGCTCAGCACCTCATTTTTTTGAATTTTGTTAAAAAAAGTGTTTCTCTTCGAACACTAAATAATACATTAATTCTTGCTCGATATTAAACTGATTGATGATACGAATTCTACACGCCTCGTGGACAATAATAGCCATCATTATATGCTCGTTGAAGAATATACTATTTCCTTGAGAATTAGAATCGGAATTGTGCTTGGGCTGCATATATTTTCCCTCACACACCTTACTCCATCACCCCATTTTTTATTTAAACATTATGGCGAGGCTATCTTAATGCTCAGCCACCCTTTTTTTTTAAAAAAGGTCTTTTTCGAGAATCGGAATTGTGCTGCACATATTTTTCCTCATACTTTAATCCATTATCCCATTTTTTGTTTAAACATTGTTGCGGGGCTAACTTGACGCTTTACCACCCTGTGCGTCAAGTTAGCCCCGCCCTAAAGTTTAAACAAAAAATTGGGTGCTATGGAATAATAGAGTATGAGGGAAAATATGTGCAGCACTATTCCGATTCTCAAGAAAAAAAGCTTTATTTTTAAACACAATTTGAAAAAAAAACGGGGTGCCACTTTCACGGATGTTGACATTTGGGAAACTAGCATTATTTTCAAAATTTCCTTAGGATTTCAATTTCGCTAACCAAAAATAATAAATTGAAATTCAAAGTCGCCAATTCATTAGGCATTCTATTCTATCCCATCATATGACTGCACATCAGTGTTATAGTAGTTAAGTCTTTTAAATTAAAAAGGTCGTAACAATAAAATGGAGGACAAAGTTGTCACCGAGTACCGCAATTCGATCTTTTTAACAACATATGAGAAAGCATGTTGAGGCTACACGTGTGTAGCGAACGCAGCAATCAAAAAAAGTTTGCTTGCGTCATTTGCTCGTTTATGATTTGAAAAATGGAGATCAAGACAAATGAGCAGTAAAATAAATTAACAAGCATGATTACCGACTTTAAACTAACATCGGAATTTTCGTGAATTTTTTTTACAAAAAAAGACTTATTTTTATATTTTGGTTCATAGTTTGTACATGTAAGGAAACCGATTACCACAAATCGCGTTCTTTAGATTTTTGTTTTTTCTAGGTCCATCAAGAATGCCTCAGTGGCAAGTAGACGATTACGGGGATATGCACCAGGAAATAGACAGTTCCTTGAATCTCGATACAGAATTATCACCAAGTCCATATGCGAGGTAAATATACTTTTTTTTAAAAAATTATATAGGGAATTACGTTGTGGAACCACAAAAACGACTTTTTAAAAACAAACTTTTATTTTTCGGACCGACCTTATGCGTACGGTTATACAGATGAGAACTCGATTGAAAATAACAAGTAGTTCATTTTATAAAGTAATTAAGCAAATGCAGCAGATTAATATAATAAGCTAAGCAATTCTGAGCACGTAACTAGGGTCAAAATCATATTGCGAACATTGTAAGACCCGCGACCTCTTCCTCTACATTGAAACTCCGTTTGCATAATGGGTTCATTTAGTAATACATATTTCGAAAATAACTTGATGAGCGTTTCGAAACTTTTAGATAAAAATCAAAAATAGCTGAATTCTAATTCTCTTCTAATACTCATTTTTTCATAGCGATTCCATAATGGCAATCAATAGTATGACGGTGTTTAAACAAGAAGCCCCTTCTCCAACTCTAAATGAGGTGGGCCAGCTACAAGTGAACAACCCTAGCTGTCAAAGCCCTACGTCAACTCAGCAGGGCAATATAGTACACCCTGCAAGCACTACTATGGAGGACAATAGTCAAAATATGTTCAACAATACCATTAACCAGTTGCTCAGTCAGAGCGCTTTGGTTAGCTTACACAGCGTGATTGATAGTAAGTAGCCACAAAAGTTAATCAAACAGCAGAAATTGAATGCTCATCGTTACTCTAGACAACAATTTATCCACTTCGCCCCATTCCCAAGATCATTTTGCTGTTTCATCGACCAACTACAATCTGATCGAGGATTGTCGCTTCCAGTACGTTTTGGCGGCGGCCACTAGCATTGCAACCAAACAAAACGAAGACACTTTGACTTATTTGAACCAGGGACAAAGCTACGAGATAAAGTTGAAAAAGCTGGGCGATTTGTCCATGTACAGAGGCAAATTATTGAAGGTAAGTTTCAGAATTATGCCTGTTTTTATGATTCAATATTCAAAATTTTTCAGTCAGTTGTTCGCATTTGTTTTCACGAAAGACGTCTTCAGTACATGGAAAAAGAACAAATGGAGGCCTGGCAAAAAGCCAGACCCGGTGATCGTATTTTAGAAGTAGACATACCCTTGTCTTATGGAGCTTTCGATATTACTCAACCCAGTAACGCTTTAAATGTTACCAGTTTCGTTTGGGATCCTACAAAGGAAGTTGGTATTTACATAAAGGTAACATGTTTCCTAAATTTTTGTCATTGTGCCAAAGTTTTCTTGCCTTAGGTCAACTGTATCAGCACAGAGTTCACTCCCAAGAAGCATGGTGGTGAAAAAGGTGTTCCATTTAGAATCCAGGTGGAAACTTATCAAAATGGAGATGCTTTGACTTCCTCTAAACGTTTACATGCGGCAGCCTGTCAGATTAAAGTTTTTAAACTAAAAGGTGCCGATAGGAAACATAAGCAGGACAGGGAAAAGATAATGAAAAGACCGATGGTGGAGCAAGATAAATATCAGCCCAGTTACGAGTGCACTGTATTGAATGATGTAAGTAAGATCAATAAGTAAGTCAATTTTAACAAAGCTGTAGGCACTGGCAATGTGAGATGAAATTCTTAGTACATTTTTTTTTTTTCAGATTGCAAATGATGCTGTACTACAAACGCCATCTTTGGTGCACTATGCTGTGTCAGAAAGGTATGTTAATATTGTGTCTTTTATAATAGTATATTTTCTACAAATGTGTTAAAAATGCAATTTCCAACACCCCCCCGTAGCATTAAAAATGTTACTTTATCGCACTAGTGCCATAAAGTCTTTATAGCACTAGTGTTAAAAATGAAACATTTTGAGAGCGAACGTCAAAAAAAGTTTGTATTTTTAGTTAATTACATTGATATTAATGGTGAAATTTGAACAACTGAGGTAGCCCGATTTGCCGCCTCATCTATATTTTTCAAGGGATAGATGCAACCTTCTTTTTCTTCTGTATTTTGTTGCATTTTTAGCAAATATTTATTTATGCAACAAGTGTGTAAAGTGAACCTTTTTTCACGAATGTGAATTTTGACGCACGAGCCGAAGCCGAGTGCGACAATCACATGAGTGAAAAAAGGTGCTTTACGCAAGTATTGCATACAAAATTTTTTCTACTACCAATCAAATATGTGTAAAAAAATAAATTTAGTCAAATACTTTACGCACTAGTGCGTAAAGAATTTTCATTTTACGAACTAGTGCGTGAAGTGATTTACCAGAAAAATGCCAAATTGACAGTGTCGACATCTGTCATTGACATTATTTTACGCACTAGTGTGTGAAGTGAATTACTTTACGCACTAGTGCGTGAAGTGAAATTTTACGTCTTCTGAATAGCGCGTGAAGTGAGTACTTTACGCACGGTAGTAGAAAAAGGCATTTTTCTGCGATTGACAAGAAATGTCAGCATTTTTAACCGGTTGACAGGTCGCAAAACTCAATATTCTGGTATTTCAATTATGTTTTAATAGTTGCTAAGGAATCAATGAATAACAATACGGGAAACACTTTTCCGGCCTAGGCCGGGAAAGTGATTCTCGTATTGCTGAATAATTGGAACTAAAAGACAAACATTTAACAGGTATTTAAACGATCGCAGAAAAAATAGTATGTGTATTTCGGTGGAAAAGTGCCTTCGGTGTTTGTCGGCCTCGGCTACGCCTCGCCCCGTCAACTTACACCGTCGGCCGAGAATGTGTCACTTTTCCACCTAAATACACAATATACTATACTGACTACAAGAGACTTTCAAGAAACTGACAAGACCTTTCATTACCTGTAAAACAAGGTGCTGGTTGTTTGGATTTTTTGACAAATGTCAAATTTAGTAATTTTATGTAGGAAAAATCTTCCAATTTATTATTCATTTAAAAATCCAATTTGTTACTTGTTATTGCTTTTTATTGCCGTTTGTAGAAAAAATATTGCATGATATTTGTGTTAAAATTATTTTTAAGGCACTTATGTGCTTTCACATGCGTGCTTTAAAAATGTACTTTTAACACTTATATCATAAATAACTATTATATAATAAGTGTGGTAACTAGGTTATTACCGCACGCGAGAGAATTTTGCAAACCGAGCCGGCGAGGAAAGGTTTGCAATCTCTAAGGGCGGTAATAACCTAATTACCATACGTATTATATACAGTATTTCATCTACAACCGTGCGGTAACGAAATATCCAAAAGAAGTTTAAAAAATTATAAAAAAAAATTGCGTCTGTCACCTTTGACAGTGGACAACACAGAACACATATCCTCACGGAGAGAAAAAAAAGCTTAATGGTGGGCGGGGCCTAAAAAAAAGCTTCGGATCGCATCCGCTTGGGGACGCTGGAGTGAAACAGAACTACAGGTGCGGAATGAACGCCACCAGAAAATATGTCACAGTTTACTTTGGCAGTTTACCTGTTACCTATGTTTAAAAAAAAATATGTCAAAATAGTTCTGAATGAGAATTCGTCTTGGTGTTGGTGTGCATTTTAAATCCAGATAAATGCTTCCTGAATTAAAAAAAAAATCAGATTTTACACCAAACACGAGAAGTTTGGCCGTTTTTGCTCTACTCGGAAGAAAAATCCGTCAATATTCAATAATGAGGAAAAAGGTTTGTTTGGACTTCAGTTCAAAATCAGTTCTAAATTGGTCTGCGCTTGCGCATTTGGTCATATCAAACCTATGTAAAGAAATGCGAAAGCGTACAATTCTGAACTAAAGTCCGAACAAATCTAATATTGAAAATATTGACATTGGGAGAACTATTTTGAAAGCTGATTTGATTACAGAAACCTTTATTATAAATAGTTCGGATCGCATCCACCACACCATGACGGTGCATTGTTCCCCAAAATTTTATTAGGCAGTTTGCCTTCTATCCGTGAAGATATGTATTCTGTGGTGGACAAGTAGAATTTAGGTGATAGGTAGGTAATCGAAGGTACGTACCTATGTAGGTAGAGCGTGCGGTAATAATATTACTGCACGCCGTGCGGTAATGTGGTACTTACTGCATGCAAAATCGAGTAATATACTTTATCTTCGACCTGCACAATAAATAAGTGACTATTATGTCACTAATTTTTGCTCATTATTATTATTAACAGCTATAGAAAGTAAACATAGTTTTCAATAATGGTACGTAGTACATTGTCACACTGAACACAAGCTACAAACAGGGTATATTTACACATTCAGACATAAAGCACTCAACGATTCCTTTCTTAGCATCTCCAACAGCCACACCACAAGCTATTAGCCATTGTCGATTACTAACTTTTTCAGTTTCAATTTAAATATATTAAGCGTTGAGCTGCTTTTTACATCATTTGGTAGTTTGTTATAATTAATTAGGCCATTATGAAATAATGCCTTTTCAGTGCTCTTTTTATTCTTGGTTGCTACATGCAAATCATTCTGAGATCTTGTATTGTGATCGTGAACGTTACGGTTGTACAGCAGTTTTGATGACAAGTACATTGGCGTTACAGAACTCTTTATTTTATAATGTCATGGCTTGATAATTTAAAAAATTCTCGATGGATACCCAGTTATGTAATGAGCCCTATTACCGTAACTACACAATCGAGTACACAATAGTTATTTATAATTTTTTTGCTTAAGTTAGTGACCTCAGTGGATATTCCGGTTGGTTTTTTTGAGAAAGGTTGGATTTAGGTCAAAAATAAATGGTGTTGAAGAAGATAGGCAAATACACATTTTCTTCTTCTACGCCGTTTATTTTTGAATCCAACCTTTCTCGAAAAAACCAACCAGGTTATTTATAATAGACAAACGACAGTCACTTATCGTGCAGGTCGTAGATAAAATGTTGTATATCACACGTACGGTAAGGCTCATTACAACACTCGTGTGGTTACCACGACTCGGTCTACGACCTCGTCGAGGCAATATTTCCCACTCGTTACTGTAATGGAGCTCATACCGTACTAGTAATATAAATAACTATTACCGCACGCTTGTAGATAAAAATTGTTATTCAGGTTTCAAAAAGGGGGTGCAACTAATTTAATTGTTATTTTGATATTTTGTGAATGAAACAGCTGCAAAAAGGTCGTACCTTGTAAAAAAAATTATTCTGCTTAGTTTTGTTCTCATTATTTCGCGATACGAGTAACTAGCCACCCAGAGAATAGTACCATAATACGCTTAAAATCTGTTTCATAATGAACTTCATTATGATACAGATTTTTCAGCCACTGGAGTCGAGTTATTTTGTAAATGAATAATGTTTGTATAAAAATAAGACTTGTTTTGGATTATTTCTATTAGTATTAACCAAAAGAAACAACAAAAAATTAATAAATCGGATGCGGAATTTATGACGTCTATATAGATGTTAATTTTCGAAACTGTCAATAGTTGTCAACACGTTGTCAACAATTGTCACTACGTTGTCAACAATTGTTGTCAACAATTGTCACTACGTTGTCAACAATTGTCACCAGTTAAGAAGTTAACTATTCTTAAAATAATGTATTTTGCTTATTAATGGGAGTAGAAAAAATAATGTATGCAACTCTCATGTAATGGACATTAATACACTCCAATGTTATATACGAAACTCGCCTGCGGCTCCTTTCATATCTTACAACATGCTCGTGTAATAATGGCTATCATTACATGATCATTGCATAATATACTATTTTTATTACGCATGCATCATAATAAACGATTATCGCACGCTGCAACGTGCATAAAATTATGTTTATTTACGAATGACATATAATGTAAGTATTATACTTGTAATTTTGGCAGCGTAATGCCATGTATTATTCCGGCTTGCACACCAATCACAAAATTTTCCAAATTAAATAAGTAATACCTATAGAAACAATATGAACAAACTCGAAAGTGTCATTGTCAAACGCGTAGTGCTTGTGTATTTGTATTAAGATGGATGAACAACGAGCAAACGAGCGTTTTTAAAGAGAAAATTTCAAAAAAATTAATTTTTCTCCAAACGTCAGAAAAACGTCACTTTGTTAACTCCTGTCAAGATGTCAGAAATTTGATTTCTATGCTGCTATGCAAATCCAGCGGGTTAACACCTGTCGAGGTGGTAGAAATTTAATTTATATGCTGCTAGGCAACCGCAGCGGCAGTAGAAGTACTTTTGGTGCCGCTGGAGCGGCAGCAAAAGTTCTTTTAGTGCCGCTCGTACTTTTACTGCCGCTTAACCATTCAGTTGCCCCCGAGCTTACCCCATTCGTTTGGAGAAAAAATAGCGTGTTGCATACGGAGTAGAAGCACTTTTTTGTGCTTCAGCAGTATTGCGAGCCGAACGTAGTGAGGCTCGCAAACCTACCGCTTCAGCACAAAAAAGTAAAGCTTCTACTCCTAATACAACAATATACTATTTTCTCCAAACGTCAAAAAAACGTCACTTTGTTAACGCCTGTCAAGGTGTCAGAAACTTAATTTCTATGCTGCTAGGCAAATCCAGCAGGTTAGCACCTGTCGAGGTGGTAGAGATTTAATTTCTATGCTGCTAGGCAACCGCACCGACAGTAGAAGTACTTTTAGTGCCGCTGGAGCGGCAGCAAAAGTACTTTTAGTGCCGCTCGTACTTTTACTGTCGCTTAACCATCCAGTTACCCCCGAGCTTACTCCATTCGCTTGGAGAAAAAATAGCGTGTTG